TACTATTATTTCATATACATTATTATAATATGAATATAATATATATTATTTATTTTTATAGAAATAACTATGATAATACGTATATATAAATGATTATTTTTTTTTTTTTTTTTTTTTTTTGAAATTCATATATATATATGTATAATTATATATATATATTTTTTTTTTAATTAAAACCTTAATTCTTATTTAAATGTTTTAAGATAGAAAGAAAAATAAATAAATAAATAAATAAAAAGTAAGCATTTTATTGTAATAATGAAAACCACATTTATAATAATATTATTTTAAAAGACTAGAAATAAAGCTTATAAAAATATACAAAGAAAAAAAAAAAAAAAATTAATATATAAAGTAATAATTTATCTTTAAAAAATAAAACTTAAAAAAAAATGTAAAATTAAAAAAATTAAATTAAATATACAATAGAAAATGAAATAAATTGAAAAATTTATTTATTTATAGAAGTAGAAAATAATAAGTTTGATATATAAAAGTGTATTTAAAAAAAATAAATACAAAGTTGTCGTATTAATTTTTTTCTTTTACATTTTTTTTTTTTTTTTTTTTTTTTTTTATTATAAATGTTTAATTAAAAGTAATATTTACACATATTATATATTATATTATATTATATTTTTTATCCTTATGCAATAATAATTCAAACGAAAAATATATACATACAAGCATATAATTACAAAAAATAAAAATAAAAAACATGAAAATAAGATAAATATTAATAGTATGTAAGTAAAATAGAAGAATAGTTATGTAAATGTAAATTAAAATAAAAATAATACTATTAAAACTATTATTTTATATAAAAATATAAATATGTAAATATATAAAATAAAAGCAAAAACAATTACATATAGAAAATGAGAAATAAAATGCATAGAAGATTCAAGGTGTGAAGTTAAAGCAATTTAAAATTGTAATCATTTTTTTATTCTTTATTTTTTTATTTAGTTTTATAGTATACTACAATTCACATTTTATTTTATTAAATATGAAATATATAAATCCTATGTTTATATAAAAAATTTATTTGAAACTACTTCTAAAAATATGCATTCTTTATTTACGAAAAAAAATAAAAAAAAAATTAGTTTTTTAAGATATATCACCCTGAACCCGGAACCCTAAACCCTGAACCCTGAACCCTGAACCCTAAACCCTGAACCCTGAACCCTGAACCCTAAAACCTGAACCCTAAACCTGAACCCTAAACCCTGAACCCTAAACCTGAAACCTGAAACCTGAAACCCTCAACTTATAAAATCTCAGGGGGATATAGAAGAAACAACATATTTTACTATGTTCGGAATATATTGTATAAATCCTGGTTTTTCAATATTATCTCCTAAAAACCTTTTAGAAATAAGAATAATTTATTTAAACAATAGATGGAAACAAGTGGAAGAAGATTTAAATAAATTGAAAGAGAAACCATTAATATCAACTAGAGATATTAATTCTGGCAATCTTATTTCATATGAGTTATCATATTATGGAGTCAAATGGAAGATTATTGTAGCAATAATTAATATAAATATTATTGATCTTTACCACATAGACTAATTGAAATCGAGCATGAGATACTAATATCTGTACCTATACACTATAAAGGTAAAGAGATTCGAATTTCATTTTCTAAAATTAAACTAATAAGACTAGAGGGATGTATGAAATTCAACTAAAAAATTCAATACAAATTACTTAAAAGAATAAGAAATGACTGAATTTACACATGAATTAGAACTTAAAAACTATTCTAATATTTTTGAAAAAGACATTATAACATCATATGAGTTGAATCATAATGGAGATATTAAAATAAATAATAAGAAACAAAAAAAGTTTAGAATTGTAAAATAAGTCAGGGAGAACAAAATAAAAGGATATCATTTTTTTTCTTAAAATGATGGAATAAGATCTATGAATAATATAACAGACCTTATTTATATAATATTTAGATGAATAAATAAAATAAAAATATTTTATATAGTTCATGTTGAATCGTGATGATAAAGTACAACCATAAATGCGTATACTAAAATAGCTATTCAAAATGTATGTTAAAAAAAAAAAATGTATTTCCATTAAAAGTACAATAAAAAAAAAATATTATGTACATATATATATATATATATACATATATATTTTTTTTTTTTTCTTTTTTTTTTGCATGTGACGTTGCCTTAAAATAAAAAATATTAATTTTCTTTTTTTTTTAATGAAGACAAAAACTTTTTTTTTTATTTAAGACTAAAAATGTGATAAACATGAAACAATTTATATATTGAAAAAAATTAACTAATATAACTAATATTTTATAATAATTAATAAAAGTAAATAATTTTCTAAATACATTAATTTAAATAAAAATAAAGTTTTCTATGCCTTCCCTTTATTTGTTTGTTCAATATTAGCATAGTCAATGAATGAGTAATAAACAAAACATACATCAAATAAATAAATTAATGATTATATATTGTAGTCTTTACTAATTTTGGATATTATAAAAATATACTATTATAACGAAACATTGCATAATTACGTTATATAATACTTATTTTATGAAAAATATTTATTTTTATTAATAAAAGATTACCTTTATTCTTATTTAAACGCAAGTATTTATTATAAAAGATTTCGATTATCACTAAAACAATCCTTTTTATAACTTTTTATTACACTTATTAATAGTATCCTCAGAAATATGTAGAGATTATAAGTTAAAAAAACCTTTTTATTTCCCTTCGATCTTTAAATTTAATTTTTTGTTATTTTAAATTAATTGTAAAACTAAATTTTTTTTTTTTAAATTAAATTTTAAAAATTTAAATAAGAAAAATAATTTATAAAAAAAACTTTCTTTAGAAACAAATAACCTTTATATTACCACTTTTCATAATATAAAATAAATATTTTTTTTCATTATAACATTTACATTTACTAATTAGAAATATGTCAATGCAGTATTTTTACTATTCTTAACATGCTAACCAATTTATGATAAATCTTTATACAATTTAAAAAAAAATTCTCATGTTTTTATTAAAACCTAAATATTCGATATGAAAATTTTTTGTTATGTATTAGATAGTTTTTGCTTATAAAAATTATTAATTTTTTATATAAGCTTCCTTTTTCCATGAAAAAAAGTTAAAATACAAATTCAACAAAATCCACATTTTAAAAGAATTTTTTTTTGAAATATAAAACATTATAAACATTATATGTAACATACAAGTAAAAAAAAATTGATAAATTTTTTTTTAATGTATGTATATTTATATATATATATATGTATTCCTATGTAATTAAATTCTTAGCTAGTTCTTCAGGTGCTATCTTAACCACCACAGATATTATCATAATTATGCATTTTATATTTATTTAAATATTTATTATATTTTTTAAAATAAGGAATATTCCTTATAGTCACATAATAAACCTCAAAAATAATTTATGCATTTTTCTTTGTTAAATGTTTTAATGAAATAAAGAAATAAAAACAATAGTAATAAAAAAGATGTCTTTATAGTTATATATGTTCTTCATAAAAAGCATAAAATTGGTTGAAAGAATTATCAATTATGAACTAAAATCACTGGGGTAACAATCCAATGGTTCAGGAATAGGATCATCTAAAATACCCCCTTCTAAAGCTAGATCATGAGCGCGCCAATTTATTCGAAGAATCATCCTTTCAAGGTGAACATCTGGAAGATGAAGATTTCTCTTTAATAATTCACTTTTAATTTCACCAGATGTTCTATCGTTATTTTCTATTAAAATTTTTAATTCATTTTGAGTTTTTCCAACCATAATGTGCAATAAATCTTTGGTTATTTCATTTTCCATTTCAAAAATTTTTATCATATATAGTATTGACCTTCTTGATCGCCCCAATGAAGTAACTAATGCATTGCGTTCTTGTGCTCTGGCTGTTTCATGTCTTATTAAGTTATATGAAGGATTTGATAATAATGATTTTACTCGAAGAAAAATTGTATCGGCAATTTTTAAACCATCATTAACATATGAACTAAACAAAGGATCATTTGGTTTAGTTAACCAATGAGTTATATCCATATATCCCATATGAAGAGAATCGCATATGGCGTTTAAACGTTTTCTTATGGCATCTGAATCTCTTTGAGTACTAGTTCCACTCGCAGATGCTTGACTAAGGTTCCTTTCAATTACATTCCACAATTTTGGATATTTTCTTTGTAATCGTTCCTCTCCTAAGCCTTCAAATATATTGGTATTAAATAATAATATTATTGGTAAAGACGTTAAAAAGAAAATATTAAAAAAATAAAATATTTTTAAGTTTTTCATTTTAAGAAATAGATAAATATTATGTAATAATTTTTTTATAATAATGACAAAACTAAAATTTAATAATATATATATATGTGTAAAAGCATGAAATAAATTTGATTAATTAAAAGAAAAAATGCACAAAGAAAAAATGTATAATTTAAACACTAAATAATAAAAAATATATTTTTTTCTCAAAATTCTCTAAAATATTTTATTAAATTTTATTACAAAAACAATCACAAAAAAATTATTTTTAATTATTTTCCCAGTTTATTATTTATTTCTATTTTTATTAACAAATTTTTTAAATAATAAAATATATATTTTGTTGTAAACGAATTTCTTGAATATATTAAGAACGAAAATAATAAAAATTTATAAAAAAATGCCAAAGTTTAAAATAATATAATTTTGTTTTATCTAGAACAAAATAATACATTAATTAAAAAAAAAATTATTATATTAAGCAAAAATAAACTAACAATATTTTAAATATGTATAAAACAAAATTATACAATAAATAAAAATAGAACTAAAAATGTTAGAATAAAGGAAAATAAATAAAAATATATATAACAAAAATAAAGACATTTTAGTAATAATGTGCATGTAATTTTAGTGGCATTGTAATTGTCAATACATTAAGAAGACGTATGAAAAAATAATGATCTAATAACCAATAACTATTTAATATATATTAAAGACAACTAAGGTTGCATTTAAAAAAAAATGCAAATAAAAATTTTATGTATTATTATTTTTTTTTTGTTTGCATAATTCTACAAAAAATAGAAAAAAATAAATAACTTAAAAAATTTTTATTTTAAATATTTATTGAAAAATAGAGTAAAACTGTATATTTCTTATTAAGGAATTTTGTGCATAAAAATGCAATGGAAAACTTAAAAAATATCAACTTATAACTTTTTTAAAAATTATTTCTTTCAATTTTATTTTTAGAATTAATTATCTAATGATGCATACGTTTTTTTTTTTAATTACACATTTGTTATTCCTAAAAAATGGTTTATGTATAGTTATTATTTTCTGAATATCCTGTATAAATCATGAATATTAAAACATATTAATATTAATTTAACTGAAATACATTAAATATTAATGAAATAGAAAAAATAAAATCGAATAAAATTATATATTAATTAATGGATAAAATAAATATAAGTATGTTAAATGATGCATAAGTATAGTTATTCTAGTAAGCAATCACACGCAGAATAAAAGCAATGCTAATTTGTAAACAAATACTTGTTATATATTAAAAATAAATCAATATTCACTGAAAAAAAATATAATAATATATTACATATTATTATTTATTTATTTTTAATATTCTTAAAAAAGATGAATAATAAAATATAATTTAAAATTTTGCCATTTAAAATAAATATGAAGTGTGAGAGAAAAAAAATCATACTTTTTATTTATTTTACATATGAAGAACTGAAAAAAATTATGTAATACGTAAAACCTATAAATGTTTATTTTACTTTTTTAATATACACAGTTAATTATATATCGTATATTCTCCTATTAATTTCCTGTTAAGTGACTTTGTTAGTATAAAACAAACAATTTAACAAAGGGCACGTGGAGTAAAATCCACTTAATTTAATTTTAATTTAAAATGTTTAAATTATTTAATATAACATACTATTTATTAATTAATTATATCTTTATTTATAGTTAATTTACACAGCACTAACATTATAATTTCTTTTATACTACATTTTAATCTAAAGAGGATATATACTCCATAGAAATCCATATATTATCGGCAAAAAAAAAAAATTAATTTCTTCTTTTTATGCTTTCTTTTTTTTTTTTTTTGACAATAAAAAAAAAATATAATGACAATATTTTTTTTTAAACTCAGCGCTATATGCAAAAATATATACATATACATAGTATTTCTTTTTTTTAAATGTAAATACTCACACAATAAAAATAATTGTTTATTTATTTGTTTTTTTAGTGAACTTATATATAATGCTAATATATATTTTTTCTTTAATTACTTACATTCTGAATAGTTATTTTAGTGTACGCATTTATGCTTGTACATTATCTCCATGATTCAGCATGCACTATATAAAATATTTTTATTTTATTTTTTCATCTAAATATTATTCAAATTAGTTCTGTAATATTATTTATATATCATATTTCACCATTTTATAAAAAAAGATGACACCCCTTTATTTTGTTCTCCCTAACCTCTGTTTACAATTCTATGTCATTTTTTTTTACTTTTTATTTATTTCAATGATTCCATTATCTTTCAACTCATATCATGTTATAATATAATTTTTATAAATATTAAAATAGTTTTTAAGTTCTAATTCATACATGAATGCAGTCATTTCTTATTCTTTTAAGTAATTTGTATCGAATTTTTTAATTGAATTTCATACATCCATCTAGTCTTATTACTTAGTTTAATTTTAGAAAATGAAATTCGAATCTATTTACCTCTATAGTGTATAGGTACAAATATTAGTATCTCATGCTCAATTTCAATTAATCTATGTGGTAAAGATCAATAATATTTATATTAATTATTGCTACAATAATCTTCCATTTGACTCCATAATATGATAACTCATATGAAATAAGATTGCCGGCATTAATATCTCTAGTTGATATTAATGGTTTCTCTTTCAATTTATTTAAATCTTCTTCCACTTGTTTCCATCTATTGTTTAAATAAATTATTCTTATTTCTAAAAGGTTTTTAGGAGATAATATTGAAAAACCAGGATTTATACAGTATATTCCGAATATAGTAAAATATGTTGTTTCTTTTATATCCCCCTGAGGTGTTTTATTACATATCAATATTGCATTTCTCATCATTTATCCAAAAAATGTATCTTTTTCTTCATTTATTATCTTATGTATATAAGGCTTCTATAAAAGCTTTATTAATACCATTTCCTTGGAATCCTTATTAATTAAATCCTAACATGAAACTAGGATAATAATCTATAAACATCTTTATATAATTATCTTTTGTTATCCATTTCACAGATTCAATATTATCTAAAGTAACCATATCAAATAAATTAAGTTTCGTTGAAATATGTTTCTTTTTAGGTTTAAATTTTCTATTACATCATACTTGACTAATTAAGCAATTATTAAATAAAAAAAAAAAGTCGTGAATCCTAATAATTAATTTTGTTTTTGATATTTTCAAAGAAAATTTTATACTATAATAATGAAATTTTAATAGTCATAATGTTTATATAAACATTAGGTTTATGCTATAATAATTATTTTTGTTAAACTAATAAAATGAACTAAAATTCCTAATCATTATTCATAAAATGGTAAGACATATTTAATTAAAAATCGACGATTAATGAAATTTAAAATTTAAAATAAAAATATAGGATCTTCATTATGGTTATTAAATTCACAATTAAGTAAACTATAAATACAATTTAATGATTTAAAGTATTAGAATTAAATTTAAGTTCATTAAATTAGAAGATGAAACTCTACATACTTTTTATTAATATGTTTGTTAAACACTTTAATTATTAATTACCTTTTCAATGACCTAGCTAGTAATGAACGAACAAATTAATAAATGGAGTGCAGACTCTCCTTATTTTATATTTATAAAATTAAAATATTAATAAAACTATTAACCTACATTAATTAATATCGAATGTTAATTGAACTAGTTAATTACCACTGTTGTTATTTAACACAATGAATATTTTTATATATGAAAAAAGTAAGTGGTATCAATTCTTTTTTTTTTTATATTATAAATCTTCTTGGAATAATTGTTAAAAGATGTGTAAAAAATAAAAATTAGCCACGTTGTCAATAAATATTATTATTGACCTTGTTTATAATTATATAAGAGAGTGTTCAAAATTTTAACTTAATTTGTTAATATAAAAATTTACGAGAAAAATATGTGCATTAAAATATTTATATTCTTAACATGTCTCTAGGAATAGAATGCATAAAAAAAAGAATAATTTTTTTTTTTTTAAAACACAATTTTATATATATATATATATGCATTATTTTAGGTATACTAAAAAAAAAAAAAATTACATATATATATATTTATTTTATTTTTGAATGTATAAGTTATAGTATATATATAATGCTAGACACATATATACATCAGATTTATATATTTTTTTTGAGAAATGATATTTTTTTTTAATATATCTATTTTTTTTTTTTTTTTTATATTTGAATAAAATGAGATGTAAGTAATGAATTTAAAATTTAATTTATGTATTATTATAAAGATATAGTTCTATTATGAAATTCATTTTAATAATTAAGTAGAGATTTTTCTATGCTCTTTATTAATTTGGCCATTCAAAATACTGTAAAAATATTTAAATAGACATTAATAAATCACCATGCATATTCCCTAGTTAAAAAAAAAAAAAAAAAATTATTTTTTTAAAATTTCCTTTTTGTAAGTTTTTCACTAACATTTTTTTTTTATTTTTAATTTTCTTTTTTACAGAAATAAGTAATCTAAAACGAATAGAGTTTTATTTTAATTTCTATGTATTTCAATGAATTCGAAAGAAATGAAAACAAAGAGTTGAATAATTCTTATAAGATATTATTAAAAGTTTTTTACACATAATAGATGATTTTAACAAGAATTTAAATTTTTATTAAAAATAAGGTGATTTTTATTAAAGTTTTAAATGGTCAATAGCGTAAAAAATATATATAAAGTTTATTAATTTGTAGAATCTATTTAATTTTCGTAACTACGCAAAAATTATATGTACTTTTACAAGCTTTTTATCAATTCTTCTGTACAATACTCCATCAAAGTTTTTGAGAAGGATATTAATAAACCAATTAATTATAATTTACACTTTATTATATCTATATATATTATTAAAATACGTGATGTGATAACACATATATTTTTCTCCTTATTAATTATTCAAAAAGAAATAGTTTATAATTATAATTGTCAATAATACAGTATAAGATACATCGAATCCATATATTTTATTATGACAATTATTTTTCAAAGTATAACTTTATGAATTTGGAATACTGTTATGTATATAATATTTAAGAAAATATTGAATTTTTTACAAAATAAAATATAAGCGAACTTTTCATAAAAATATAAAATGTTTGAAGTCAGTATTTGTTACATAAAAGTTTTTAATGTAAAAAGTAAGAATAAACTATTTTTTTAACAAAGCAAAAGAAATGTTAATTATTAAATATTAAATTTTAAAAGATATTATGTTATACTATTTATTTGTATTAATATACACGTAGAAATAAGTATAATATATCATTTGAAGTATAATTTTATATCAATGTATTTCCACTTATTTTTTCCTTAAATTCAGTAATTTTTCATTACCAATATTACTATTCATATTACTAGTGAATCTAATAATTTCTTCTTTTATTATTTTTTCTTTCAATTAATGCAATAAACTTACATGATTTCTAGAGAAACAATAAAATTGCGCTTTTTGTTATTTTGTCTGGATAATATCTTCAATAAAAATGTTCAAAGAAATTTCACACATTTTTATGTTATTTATATTTTTCTTCTATAAATGATACATTCTATTAGTTTAATATTTCCTGCTTAACTTGTAACGATTTCCTTAAATTATGTAATTCTTCCTGAACAGTTGGGCTATAAAATATGTTTTTTTTGTTTTCCGTAATATTTATAGAATTATCTGTAACCATAACTAGTTTTCCATTAGGAAGTATAAAAGTTTCTGTATTTGGAATTCCTAATGTACCTTTAAACAATATATTCTCACCATTTCTAACTCTTGGTGAATTACGATCTGAGGACCATGTCTTTTTGTATAAAGCTAAGGCATATCTTAAAAATAGAAAATACGATTCACTCAATTGTAAGCGTGTTTTAGACCATTTAGCTATGTATAATTTTGTTAATCTTATACACTCATTAACTGAATATCCATCCCTTTCTGCTTTGTTAAAATCCTCTCTTTCATCTTTTTCAATTATACTAATAATAGTATTTGAATAATCAGTCCATTTTCCCCATATGTCATGCTTTAAAGAACGAGGAAAAATTGATAATGAAGGACAAAGCATCAATTCATTCCTCATACCAAAAATCATACCTAAAAGAATCATTCTTTTTTCATTGGAAAAACTTTCACGTAAACCTTTAAAAATGAGTGCACTTTGATATATTCCATTTTGATTTCCCATTCTACCTTGATTCCTTGATTGTTGACTCAATATTCTTGAATAGTACTTATTGGAATGTATTTCTATAAGTATGTTCCTGTGCGATTTATATAAACACTATGCAAATAAAAAAAATTAAAACTAAGCAATTTAGAGACTACTTATAAATTAGTGAAGTTGTAATTTACATATATTTTATAATAATAAATAATTAATACATATATTTTTATGTGTCTTACTAGAAGAAAAATGTAAGATAATATAATGAACGATACAAAGGTGAATCTATAAAACTTTAGATTTAAATAATTTTTTTTCTCCATTGTATCATTCGAATATTTAAAAAAATTATTTCTGTATTTTCTTGTGATTGTATTGTTAGAAATGGAATCTCCTTTAGGAAAATTACTCGTTACTATATTATAATATTTCATTTTTTATTGTTATATCTTTAAAAGGAAAAATGTATTTTAAGAATAAGTGTTCTTTATTTTTATTGTAATATATAATAAGAAAAATTTTCTTATATGAATTAATGTTTTTTATTTTTAAAAAGTAATTAAGAAAATAAATATAAATAGAAAATTATAAGGAATTATATATTTACCTATGCGCGAAAAAAAATTCATTTAAAAATGTCCTAATTTGGTATAATTTAAGTATACTATAAAATACATATTTAGTGATATAATTAAAGTTGAAAAAATTTCTAAAATATAAAATCTATATTAATTAATTTTAAATATATTTCCATAAATAAATTTGACAATAGAAAATTGAGCACTATTTAATTTATTTAGTTAATTGTTCGCATCAATTTACTAAAATGGTATGTTTTATTTTAGTATTCATAATTTATTTTATTACTTTTATATTTAATCAATTTTTAAAAATTAAAGAAATATATTTTTTATATATAGAAACATTATAATATATAAATTCAAATAAATAAATTAAGTGATTTTATTATAAAAACAAAATTAGTATAAATATAATTAAGCAAAAATATAAGAATATATAAATGGAAGTTGTATGTTTAATTTATTTTAAATAATATTCATTTAAATTATTTCCACATCTCAATGTGCACAAGATGTGCCCACATATAAAGTTGCTTATTTTTAATTTTAAATATATATAAAAAAATGCAGTGATATTTAAAGATATAGTAAAGAATTTAAATAAAATTTCGTGGATTTATTTTTGTTATTATAACCTTCCTTTTTTAACTATTAATATATTCTATTTTAGATTTATCCTTTAGTCAATACTTATTTCAACACAATTTTTTGCACACATTATTATGTCATAAGGCATAAACCTCCTTCAAATTACTTAAATTATGTTTTTATTTTAAGAACAATTAAATTATTTGAATGTGATTAACTTTTATTATTGCTATGTTAATTCATACTTAAGATAAACTGCAAAAGTACGAAAAAAAAAAAAATAAATAAAAAGGAATAAAATGCTTAATGTATATTAATATATCAAATATAATGAAAAATTAACGCCACCATTTAACTTAAAATTACTAAAAATACTATAATTAAAAAGAAAATGTAATAAAGAAATATAATTAATTTCACTACAAAAAATGATTGAAATATATGTCTCATTTTTTTTTTTTATTATTAATTGAATTAAAAATTATTAATCAACAAACATGAATAAATAAAATTTCATTTTATTTAACAATTATTCCCTAATTTTTTTATTATGTTTTCTAGTTACCTTTTTCCTTTTAAATTAATAAAAATTAGGATATATCATAAAACTAATTCAAATGTGTTGTCTTAATAAATATTTAAAATTTTTTTTATTCATTAAAAAAAAATAATTTAAATTATCGTAAAAAAAAAAAAATATTCAAATGTACTAGTTAATTTCATGAAAATTCTCTTTAATTTAATATCTTATTCTTTAATGGTTTAATATTTTATTATTTATATTAACTATGTACGTGGTTGACTTATTTTTGTAAATATGAGTTAATTGCTTGTTAAATGATTTATAATGAATTCAGAATATTAGAAGAAGCAGTTTCAAATTAATGCGATTGCAAAAAATTAAATGTGAAGAAGTCATATAAAACACAAAGTGAAAACATAATATCTATGATAAAACATCATATTATATTAAAATTTTTTATTTCTTTAAAATTATTTCTCTAAAATGTTGTTAAAAAAAATTTATACATTTTTATTTTAAAATCAATTTTGTGTTAAAAAAAATTGTCTGGTTATTTCTGATATTTATATTGTAGATATCTAATTGTAGTATGCTCGCATATATCTTGCTGTTCATATTTATTTAGCATAATACAATATATATATATATGAGTGAATAATATACTTCGTTAACAAGTACACATAATTTTCTTTCTCTTCTAATGCATTTATTTATTATACTCTACCTTTAATTTTTAATATTTTTATCATATAATTTATATGAATTATTTATTTAAAAAAGTAATAATAATAAATTATATTTTCCCTTTGCTACTATCATTAATTAAAAATATAACTAACTTTATTTTTATTTTCATGCTGATCATTAAGAATTGTTATTAATCCTTTTAAAGCATCTCAATTAACAATGTAAATTAACGAATTATATATGCAAAGAATTTAAAAAAATTTTTAACAATTTATTTAAAAATAATATTATATAAATTTGTTTATTATTTATAAAATTTTCATTTTTTGTAAATATAATTCTTGAATAATGTAACTAATTATTAACTGATATATAATTCATAATAAATTATATTAATCAACTAAAAAACTAATCTAATAAAAATAATATAACTTCTGAATAAATTTATTTTATTGATTAATTTAAATTTGCAGAGAAAAGGTTTTTCTATATAATAAAATGTTTTCATATTGAAGGCTAAATCTTTTAGTAAAAAAAAAAATAAATTTCTATTAAAATAGTTAAGTTCCTTTTATCTTACAATGGAAATATTCAAAATGATAAAAATTTTAACATATTTTCAATTAAGAAATTATAAATTTTATATAAAATGACAATTTATTTAACGATTTTTATTAATTTCCTTGATTGGTAAAATGCAAAGCTCTTTTAAAGAGGCAACTAATAAATCATGTGAAAGCTCAATTATAATTTTATTATTTAAATACGAATTAATAATATGCATGTTCAAAAAAATTTTTTTTTGTAAATACTTAAGTACGTTTAATGAAAATAAAAAAATATTAATTTCACTTCTATTAACCAATAAATCAAGAAATATTTATAATTTCAGCTTAATGAATATAGCTAAATAGTTGATAAGAATCAAAAACTCACAACTTCAATTTCATTGTTGAAATCTAAAAGTCATTTAAATATTTATGAAAAAGATGTTATCCTTTCATTTACATCAGACCATTACAAGAATAAAAAATAATGAAAACCATAGGTGATGAGTATCATAAGGATATCCAAAAAAATTAGTTAATTATAAAACTATATTATTGTATCTCTCTAAATGGTACAGTGTGACTAATGAAAAATAATTATTTTTTTTTTTATATTTCTAAAATACTACTGAAGTATACACAATGGTAGTTATACATATATTCATAGTATATATATTTATTTAAAAATTATACAGACAATAGCTTCTCTATGAGAATAAATTATAAATTAATTATATTTTTATTGTTATTATTTTTTATTTAATATTTACATGTGATTAGTGTTATAGTGATAAAGAAAATTTAATTTTCAATTTCTTTTTTTTTTAATTATTGGTTAATATGTTTAATAATAAAATATTTGTGTAATATAAAAAGTAAAAACAATAAATCATGTTTAATATAATATATATATATTATTGAGAAAAATGTTTTTTTCAAATAATTCTAATGAAGAATTTTTTTATTTATAAGTATTATTTTTAATTGATAATAATATTTAATTTTTATATTTATTATAAATGTGTTTAACTAGTAATTTTATAAAACAATAAATTTAATGAGAGTGTTATTTCCTTCATCTACATAAAAATAACTCTTAGGATTTATATGTTAACATAAAATTATATATCTTCCAAATATTTTCAATTAAACAATATTTAGTAAAATCTCAAAATTTTTTTTTTTGTTATAATATAATTTATTATATATTCCTCATGTGCATATACAGTTTATTATGTAACCAAATAAATAAGGAATATGCAGAGAGATCTCAACTTATTTATTTAGCATAAATCAATTATTATAGATAATTATATAACCCAATGTAACTACATTATATAATATATAACATATAATAAATAATTTATTTTTTTTGTTAAATTTAGAATTTTCCAATCATTCCTATTTTAAATAAAAATTTAACTTTTCTCAGCACTTTTAAAATTTAAGATTATGTTTAAAGATTTACATTAAACCATAATTTATTCAAAAATAAGTTTTACTTATTATCATATGAAAATTATATATAAAAAACTATAAAATGTAACATTCTGCAAAAAAAAAAAAAATTATATGGAAAAAATTTTTTATTTTATACTTTTTTCTTTTTTGCTGTATTCATCTTGTTTTTTTACTGCATATATGCTTAAATGCTTTCATTTCCTCAAATATATTATATGCATAACTAATTTTTTATCTATATTTTATCTTATTAAAAATTTCAAAAGATCTACAACACTATTGATTGTTATACACTAATTTAATTTTAGTAATGCAGATCTGTTTTTTTTTTAACTTGATAGTACAAAGATTGATACTCAAAATTTTGATGCGTATTTCAATTATTCTATGAAATAAAACTAAGATTTTTATGAAAATTATAATCATGATAATTTATCCAGCTAAATTTTTGTTTATATAAATTATAAGAAGTAATTTTACTCACTTTTATATAAATAATAATAATCTCTATTATTTTCATAAGTTTATTTAAATTTCATGTCTTCTTCAGCTTATTGCTTGACTTATTAATTTATCCATTGAAAGAATTTTATTATTCATTGAATAACCAAATTAAAAAAGAAGTGGGAAAATATACATTTATTTTATTAAGATAAATCTTATAATATTAATATAACTTGTAATAATAAGTTAATATATACATTATATTTATTTTAATATTGAATTAATATTTTCATAAATAAATCGACATCTTATCAACATTAAACACTTTGTTACTTGCATCACCCTACATTATAATAAATAAAATTGAAAATTTTTTTATGCATTGTTAGAACCTCAAAAAAAAAAAATTATTAATAAGATATACATATTTGTATAATTTCTCTTTTTTACATGCACATACAAACAAACAAAAAATGTAGCTTAAATTTTCTTTCTTAATGTACTCAATCCATGGAATTGTAAACTTTAGTGTAAGTATTTTAATATATATATTGCACACGTATACTTTATATTCATAAAAAAAAAATTGATTTTGTCTTATC